TAATAGGACCAAGAGAATTAGTTTTAGTAAGTCCATGAAATAATGCGTGAATATATGGAGCATTTCATTGGTAAAATTCTGACGACTAAAAAATTTGGACAAGAAAATGCACCGCATCCTGAGGAGTCATTTTGGTTAGATGCAATAGCTCCCGACTCTACTTACTCATCTGACGGGCCTATTGTCAGCGCAGGATATTTTGGGCTCGCTGACCTCAGAAGACCAATTCCCTTTCTAACAATACCTTAACTCCCTTCTTATCCTCCAAAAACAAGGGCCAAAATGGGTTCTAGGACACGGACAGAGTGGACACTGTACCCACGATCATTGTTGTATTGGTCGAATGCCAGATGCAGCTATGGTAGGAAGCAGTTTTCGTTGGAGGTGATTCATCAACACTTCTGGCACTTGATTACCAGAGGTGTTGCGTTGGAGACTGATTGCTATGTTCAGTGCGACATCACGATTGTGAGTAAGCAGGCTAAAGAAGCGACCAAGTGTGCAGTAAAGTGTTCGTTTAGAATAGATTAGTTTCGATAAGCAAATGAGTTAGTAAACAAAATACTTGGAAATTTGTTCTGCCAATATGATCAGAATAATTTTAACCATGGTCTTTGAGGCGCCGGGCACGTTGCTCCAAATTGCACCCTTCAAGGGTGCGATCAGAAAGGCAACTTCGTAAAACAACATGATTACCCACTGTGGCAATGTACAAAACAGCTCTTCATTTTCAACATGGCACTGATTGCTTGAGGATAGTTAGTTCGGTAAAAGCCTAAGTGTGTTGCAGGCTTTAAGTGTACTTTGTTGAATTTACTCGTTCACGCATTGGATTGTTCCACCAAACTGAGCGTGAAGGTGAGTGTGCAGAGGTATATTTTTTGAGGGCAACATTTGTTCGAAGGTAGACTTCACAAACCATGGACTAATAACACGCTCACAAGGTCTGGTGTAAAAAAATTCAATGTTTCAAGCGCATATGCCTATAAATTCTACGGAAAAGATGCATTATTAAAACACTGTGGCTCATTTCACAGAAATGCAGTAATATTTATGCTTGATTTGCGACAGAAGGTGTTAACTTACGGAGCGTTGAAACTATGTGATGCGCACAAATGCCACAGTAACAATAGAACAATGCAGAGCATTATGACCAAATAATTTGCTTACCACCTGCCAGCAATGTTCGCCAGGCTTCGCCAGATTTCTTCTCTTCCTCTGTATAATCGTCGGGCACCTGAACAAGTTCGCCAATATCGACGGCAGAGGCGCGTCTCCAGTAGTGAAAGATGTCATTGAGCTGAGTTTTACCAGATAGCAAAAGGAAATCCCTCCATTCGTCATAGTCAATGCTCAAAGACCCGTCTTTGTCAACTTTGCGAAGCAGCTTTTCAGCTTCCTTCTGACCGATCTCTACGCCCAGTTCCAGCATTGCGGCTCGTATTTCTGAGGCGTCAACAACATTATCATTGTTTTTGTCCATCTGTCTGAAAGCAAGCCTTAACTGTGTTTCTGTATCTGTCACGTAATCAAGGAATTCACTGAAGGTCATTGTTGATTTGGATTGGGAGTCGTCGCCCCGCCTAATTATTTTCGCTGCTGTTGATGTCTGCTCTGAACCCTTAATTTTTGAGGCCAATTCGGCCACACTGACTCGACCATCCTTGTCGACATCGAGCTCTTTGAAAAGTTTGGCAATGCGTTCCCGATCTTCATGTTTCAGATTTGATTTTTCCGGCATTGTGGGACGTAAAGCGCTACTTTGGATTCGCGTCTTAACAATCACATTTGCCGTGTCATGCAAGTGCACTGGCACTGGTTGACTCTCCCATGCCCTGATTGGCTACAGCTGTAGAATGCCCGTCGCACATTGGTGGAGAAAGGAAAAACGATTAGGCTCAGTGGTTTGCTGATTGGTAGACAAGTTTCAGGTGGCCTAGACAAGTAATTCGGAATTCCATCAATGACGACGCTAAACTTTATTTTCGCATCAGTTTTTTGAAACACATTTAATAGGTCACAGGGCCTCGAATAGGGCGGATAATCTATAGTTAAGTAGCTTTGCCCTCCTTTTATACTGGATCGTCTAAATCTCGCGACGATTCTTCCTAATAAATAAAACTGCTCGTGAATCTGCTGCCAGTGGAAATATGTCAGCACAACTGGACTCCATACAGTATTGCCAATGTAGAGGTTTCAGTTTTAATGATTTTTCATTCACTTCTCCCACAAATTTGTGCCACTTACCAGCCTTCCAAAATGCAGCATATTGCAAACTTAGGAAGCGGGTTTGTATCACACAAGTGCTGTTTTGCTTTGACCATTTACAGATTGAGTCTTCATTTATCAGTAGTGCATGTCCGTTCGGGGAAATTCGGCCGACATAGTGAATCTGATGACACAAGAAAAACCAAGGTTGACATAAGTTATTACTGTCTCTACACTCCTTTCTCCAAGCTATTTAGTGGCGTAAATGCATTAGCCCTTCTAAATAAAGAATTTGAAAACGGAGGCAGGTAAGCGATAGTTGTGAGAGGATACTCTAAGTAGAGCGCTTTGCACTGACTTATATGCATGATTCTAATTAAGAAAAATAGTCTGCAGCCTACAATAGCATACAATGAGTTAAAAATTATATGTTAAATTAAAGCAAAACTTCTAATCAAATCCCATTCCTATAAAAAACTCAAAATTTGATTGTTTTGATAGACTAAATCCTTTTGGTGTAAATTATAGACCCGTCGATTGAATTTCCAACATTCATAATATGGTACCCGACCATTCGTCGGATAACATGGATTAAGTTGTGATATGGGTAAAATAGGAAGCCATGAGCCCTTTTGCAATTAGCGCATAGAAGAGTGAGAGTTGGTAGTCAAAGCTACCTCGTTTTGCACCTATAAATAGTAAATTTTGCAAGAGCAATCAACGAACGGTTCGTTTAATGCCCGCATAAGTCTTTTGTGATGTCTATACTGGCGGATATTTATCTATAAATTTGTCATATTTAATAATTTGTTTGTGTGGTGGTCTACATGTGTACGGCACGCTTTAGCATTCGTCATGCCTTCGTACACGTAGTTTGGCCTTCAAATCAAGCCAAAACCCGATCTTTCCACTTAATGAGGTGCCACATTTAAAATGATTGATTGGTTGATTGAAAGCGGCATTTGAAAGGAATCAGTAAAAGATGCAGCTTTAACATCAAAAGAAAAAAATAACTCATACACCTAGACGAAACAAAGTGCTTTCTCTCGAATACGCATTATGAAAGGATGGTCTGTCATCTCAAGGAATTAAACAATGCCATCACTCAACCTCAAACCAATTTTCAAGTTTGGAAGAAATAAAAAGCCGCATTACCTGCATCATTAAAAACACTGAATCTTAGGGATTTAAAATAAGAGCACCATGCGACTTGATGGACTACGAATGTTTTTTGATCAGTTCCGACTTGCGTCAGCGATTGTAGACATTTAGAAAACGGTACCCATAAATGGCAGTGTTGGTGTTGGTGTAATTCTATAATTTGACTATATGCAATTAAATTTTAAAATTTTTATAAAACATTTAAGACACAAAGCACAATTGTGTTAATTTACTTTAAATAAAATTGTTCTTGTATCCCTTTATTTGTTTGGCCTTACCAAGGTATTATGATGTAGACGACCCTGGGCTTGCGCTCCTCTAAATTCGCATTCCTTGCGGCTCGTATTGCCGATAGTGGTGTGTTCGGCCAGGTGTTTTTTAGCGTGTTTCACAATTTTCCCTTTGAACATTAGTATGTGACACTGCGGTACATAGGTCTTGCAGGATTTTCGAAGCATAGATGTATATTATACAGGAAATTATTTTTTGAATTAGAGCAGTTTTGCAAACTGTGTTGAGCGATGGAGAGGTAGCTATGTTTGTGCACTTGTGCGTTGGTTTAAAGCGTGCCAGTGGAATGCGTACAATATTTTGCTAGTTCATGATCGTCGGAGATTTTTGTGACGAATATCATTGCGGATATCGTTGCGCAACATATTTCCGTAATTTTTGCAACTTCGAATGGTTGAAGTGCAGTTTTTAGTGAGATTATTAATGATATGCTTTGCGTTTCAAAATGTGTTGTAACTTAGACTTCACGCGTGCTATTTTTAATCTTAAGTCACTCTAGATGCTTTAGCAAGATGCTTTAAAATTTTCTGGCTATAGCTGGCATTCATAACTTTTGTTGTACCTGTTTCAGTAGTACATTTTACATACGAGTGTATGATTTCCTTAATTTTAGAGATGGCGATTCTACTCAAAAATATTTCTCAAATAGTTAATGTTACAAGAAACTCCAAACAAATCTTTATGGTGGACGGCTACGACCTCTTTTGCGTTACAAGTGACCCTGATTCAAAGAGCAAATATGCTATTCTCTTAGACAGGTATCCAATTTTTTGCACGTTACTACTGCAAAGTAACGCAAATAGTGTGTTACCCACCGGTCCTTGTAGTTTTCAAGTGCTTTGAAGTAGTTTGGTAATTTTTGAGGACGTTGTCTTCATAATAATATTATCAGATTTCACTTTTTGAACACCTGGTTGATCATCCAACTCCCACCTCCTCACTATCAGCGAATTTTAGATCTTTATTATTACCATTTTTTACCTTATATATCTTGGTCTGTTTTATGCACTTTCTCACTCTAAGGTTGTCCAGTTTTAGCATTTGTGGTGCATAATATTAGAACGGGCATAATTTTCTCCGAAATATGTAGTATGTATGCTAATGTATGTTTTATTACCTGCGTACAAGACACTTTTTTGTAGTTAGGGATTTAGAAAACTTACAACTGCTCACCTCGACGTGGTTGTTCGCTCACTGAACTGCAGTTCAATACGGAATTTTGTGTTTCTTTTTGTCCGATCTCGCCATTTTTGTGGGTGGCAGATTGTGTTGATTTGACGCTTTACTAGAAGTTTCCTTTTTGCTTCATAGCATTCTCTAATGTCAAGAGTTGTAACTTATCATTCATTTGGTTGTTCTGACATCTTTTATTTAGTCTCTGTGGAAATCATATTTGGGAATGACAACCGCATCGGTTGACATTACCATTCTTTAGTCACATCACGTGTTCCGGAGACTTAGCTACGCTACACTAAGTTATTATTGGGTTGTCGCCGACATTTACACGATTACAATTAATTTTCAACGCAAATACGCGCCTTTTAAACAAGTGAGATATATTTTGATATCTTCTAGATGAGGCTGCACTAGTTACGTCATTTTGCTAATTTTACACATCGTATGTCTATGGTAGCAGTCCCACCGTACTTTTTTAAATTGCCGTTGCATTCAGAAGCTTAGAGTTAGTGTTTTGAACGTGTACTAAAGCGAAATTTAGCTAAACTTTAGCATTAGCTAACTGCCTACCTGAGGTCTCATGATATCCAAAGTTTTACAGTCAGGAGCTTATGAAATAACAAAGTTGTAATCGTTGGGGTTTGGAAACTCAGCGCCAAAAGCACATAACCGTATTAATGTTGTTGGAAATCTCAGTATTAAAGGAACTATTAAACAATTTCGATTGAGAAGTTCCCTCTAACTAAATTATACTGGTGTCATAAAAATGGACCCGACAATGAACTTCTGCATTGTTTGAATTTTGAGGTTTTCTCCTTAGTACCATCACCTCAGTCCCTAAGGGTTAACTTTGGTGAATCGATAGCGTCATTTGTACGATGCGCTTAGCATTGGGAAGTTCTCTAGTTATTTTTCTGTTACTAGTAGATAGATGTATTATATTTTTTTTCTTGGGCATATGTACAATGTTTTGCAGAATATTCGGCTTTTTGGTCACACTTCCAGCATTTTGATCGCGGAATATTTCGCATTGTTTCCTTCAAAAATGCCTTTTTTGTGGGCATCAGTTTCATTTGTCAGGCTAATCGTTTTACGCCAAATCGAATGACTGCCTGTAGTATTGAAGGGAATGGTACTCCAAAGTGAACAGCATCAAGAATGATTCATTGCACTGAATTTTTGGTATCTGCCGCATTTCCTTGATATAAACTCAACTAAATACATCGTCCAAATGACCGATATATTTGACCTTAGATTAACCTTGTTTAGGGATGGAACTACAGTGTGAAATTTAAAGTGGCTCTTCCAAGCCCCCGAGCAGCGCGCATCTCGTCAAGTGTTTTAAGGACTACTAGATTTTAGGGCGCATTCCTTATAACACATAAGTGCAAAATCTGCCCATAACCTTCAGTAACGCATCGCCCTGATGCCAATTTGACCTTGTTCACTGTATCACTTTCGGGCTTCACCTCCCTGGGAGGTCAACTGCCACTCCAAGAGGTTTTGCTTAAATTTTCATCGTTAAACAATTTGGTGCACTCAGTGATTTATTAGTGTAAGAAAGCTTCCAAGTAGCTAGAGTTCTGAAATGCAGTTATGGATTTGGATTTAGGAAATGGCGCCCAGTGCTGGCAACGTTACAGGGCTTCCCCAGCCTGGGGAAGTATTAGTAGGACTCCGCTTATGGGTCACCGTCCGAAAACTGGTTTCTCCTTTGCGAACGTGAACGCTCAGATTGTAAAAAGTAGTCGGTCTTCCCAACTGTGCTTGTTAAAATCCTCTCAAGCGTGTACTCTTGCTCCTTATGCCGCTTACTGGGAAAGCCGAAAGAGTATGCCATTGTTTTGGATACCGATTGGTGGGCAGGCCCAACTCCATGGCAAGCTTTTAGTAGGTAAATGTAAGGCAGTTTTTTCCTTACCGGGATCAAGGTCAAGTCTGTGTATTGCGGTACTTAGTCCAACCTTATGCTAGGAAGGGGAAATTCTTGTTTCGGTTTCGCCTTTCTCTTCCGGATCTTTTAGGAAATAACTGATTCGCCGCCTTTTAGGGCTAATGAAACGACATTGGGTGTTAGCCCTCGTTAATTTCCCATTGAGGCATGTGAGTTTGTGCGCGAAATTTGCACCAGCGCAGGCTGTTGACTATTTCATTAAATGATATCATTTCGTTCGCACCCAGAATTCCATTTGTCGCTCTTGGCCTTGACTTGAAATCTGTTAAAAATCAGTTGCAGTTTGACCATTTACATTGGAGTTTTCGTAGGTAGTGCGTTAATATTTAGTTCCTTGTGCTTCGTACCCTTAGGAGACCGTTTTATAAGCCTCACAAGGCTCCTCAACATTGGATGCTGCGAGACCAAATGGCATGTATGTTTCCTTGTATATTAGTGCATAAGGAAGGAATCTTTATTTAATCTAAGAAGTACAATAGCCTCGGTTTCAAATAGGTTGGGAACCTTGGCATCATAAACCAGTTATGGACCCCTTAATACAACTAGTGAGCTTCATCCGCCGACTTGTCTTTGTTGATCGACACAAAGATTGCCGTCTCTTGCAAATTTACTATCCATCTGTGAACGAATGTGCCTTCCAGCAAAGGGCCTCAAAGTTATTTAGTTAGGGAGCCAATCGTTTCGAAGTCTGTATTACGTAAGGTAGTTATGCTTTTGTAATCGTCTCATCCATAGTGTTTTGTATGGGTTACCTTTATTGTCATCTTTATTGCGCTCCATAATGCTCACATTCACTCTCGCGTTATTGGCGTTATCTTCGCTTATTATTCACCCTTTTTTAGCATGTGACCAGTCCAAAAACATGAACATCAGCACGCAATATTAGCACATAAATGCTCGAAAGCTTGGAAAACAGTTTATGGATACCTGGATTGTTGTTGGTATGGGCAAATCGTCACCAAGGCCATGCTTCTCTTCATACCAACAGTAACTTGATATTAGGCCAAACTTCGTTCATGTTAGTAGACTAGGGAACACGACTTACAAAATTAATAAATAGGATCCCTTGGAGAAAACGAAAGCTATATGTGAAAGATGACTTTTCTATAGCTGGCATAGGGAGTAAAGCTCTCATAACCGTAGTGATTACAATGCAAAGTGCAGACAAGAGCTTAAGTGCTTTGAAGTCGTTACGTATTTTCTAGCCATGGCTGTATCCACTTACAACTTAGGCCTCTTGTCTTCTGCTGAGTTTCTTTTCAATATCTTCTCGTCGACTTGCTAATTGAAACAGATAATAGGAATCTCAACTACAAAGGATCTCACAGTCCATTAAATTGGTTGTCGAAGGCATTCAGGCAATGGTTTGGGAGAACTAGAAACCCCGCACTGCACCTGATATTTTGGCCTTTTGGGAAGGTGATGACCATATTTCCCTTTGGTAGTCATCTTTGGTAAACATTGGCAAGCTCTAAAGCATGAATTTATCTTGCTCCATTCGCAGCCAGACATCCTAAAGTAATTCAACACTTTGTGGCCCTTCTTTGCTTATTTACATTGGGCATGAACTGGATATTGGATGTTGTTTTCATTGGTTGGATTTCGGGAATCTGTCATTTGTTTTTGAACCCTGCAAATGCCATCAATTTCAACTAACTGCCACTTATAATTGGTAAATCCGGCAGATTGAGAAACGTTCTGAATCAAGCCTGGGCAAAACAGCACAACTTTAACGTCCACTTTTAGGAAAGTGGTTCCTTATCCATTTGACTAGTTGCTTTTTTTCGATTTTGTCTATATTTGATTAGATTTTCTTATGCCTTTTTTTCCACTTCGTGCAACGGCTTACGGGGGTTTTGAACGCACTTCTTCGTAAATTGTTAACGGGTTGAATTCATAGGCTAAACCCGAAACACGTTCTAGTCATGGGTGGTTGCGGTAGGGACGAGCTGTTTGGTCCTATTACTCTGGGGAATCTTGACTAAAGGAAGTGGAGTGGTAACTGTTGCTCGAGCTTCAACTGTCGGAAAGTATGCTGCGGTTGGTGATTGCGCACCCGGTTCTGGTTGCAACACGCACGGCAACCTACATTCAATATGACCGTTCATCATTTTTGCTTGTCCCCAAGCCATTCGCTGAGCCCGAATTAGCCACAGGTACAGCGGTGGATTGTTTACGTAGACTGAACTGTATGCTCTTGAGGGGATGTTTTCACCTTGTGCCATTCTCCGTTTTCGTCTTTTGGAGTTTCCCCAAACTTAAATCCTAGTGCTGTACAGCTTGCATGCCATTAAGGCAATTATTCATTCAACTGCGAACAGTTAACCACTTTTGATTCATGAATTTCATGGAATTTACAGTTTTTTACAATTCTCACTAAAATCATCAGCCTCAGCCAATGCTTTTTGGTTTCGTTGTTCGTTTTAGCGATGGAAACATATTATCTTACGGCTCGGAAGACGTGATTATTTGCCCAAACTACGAATACGATACCGTAATTGATTGTAAAGGCGGTGCAGTTTTGCCAGGTAGGCGGATTTGTCGTTAGTTTTTGTTGTAGTTTGTCCCACAGGTTTGAGTGAGTACTTCGTCAAGCAGTTTTTTTGTTCCTGACTTCTTGATTCCTAGAACAAATTTCTTGACTGACGTTGTTTTTACTGCAAGATGACAAAGTTATGCATCTTCGGGAATCAAAACCTAAATTGTGAATATTTTATCGGGTGTAACAGCGTCACTTTCTGGAAGTGCATTTCTAGACTAATTTATGCTGTTCTCGCTCATCCAGTATTTTAATGCAACATGCATTCATCCCCTATGCCGCATTGCAGGCCACGTACTTCCAATAACACTTTTAGGTCCCCTTTTCGAAACGCAAAACCTTCCTTGGGAAGCGTGTTGTCCTTCTAAAAAGGCTCATGTTTCCCCTTCATCTGGATTAAAGCCAACCTTTGAACCTATTCTACTTAAGCCAGTCACGGTTGTATTTAATCCACCGCACTCGACGAAGATTTGCTGGAAGGAAATGCTGGGCTCCGGGCCGTTAGTTACACTATAACCCCCCATTTACAGGCCAAATACAATTGTTTAAAAAAGACATCCGACTTAGCTTACCTAGCAGGATTTGACTCTCAGATTCAGTTTTAAAGCCGTGTGTGTGCTGAATGCGCTTTCATAATTTTTTGTCGTATTCGTAGTATGGATAGATATATCACTTTGAGAATCAGTCTATAGTAATGC